ACAAAATAAAATTCGTGAATAAGGAGTAACTCTAAACACGACCGTTTTACTGATGTTCGAAAATGAGTTGACTTTTTTTTATTAATGAAAAGTTGTGAAAATTCACATGTGTACATCGAATTCAGGAATTAAAAAAAAAAATTTTTCCCTTTTGCTATTAAAATATAAATAAATTTGGAATCATTCTGTTTTCATGGAACATGAGTAAAATATTTTTACGTTGATAAATTTTCTGAAAATTTAATTTTTTTTTCTTTTTATTTCAATTGCTATATTATATTAAGGGTAAAAAGAACTACTACGAATTACTACGAGCACCAAGGCATTACAAATCACTAATTATATAAAACCACAAGGTACAGAAGGAGTGGTGCTCAACTCCAGAAAACAGGGCCAAGGACCGTTTTTCATTGAAACATAGGTCAATTTTATTCTCGGAAAGAAAATCCCAGGTTTAAAGCATATTTTGAAATTGCAATGACACAAAGTAGATATTTGCAAGTTACAAGTATACATGTATATAGTAATTTTTTTAGGGGCGAAGCATTCGGAGAAATTGAATTCTAAAAAATAAACCTTTATGATAATTTGACTTTCTTTTTATTTCAAGTCTTATTTAATTTGTAGGGTAAAAGAACTAGTACTGTCATTCCAAGGCATTGCGTTTCACTAATTATATAAAACCACAGGGACAGAGGGAGTAGTGTAACTCCAGAAAACAGGGTCAAGGATCGTTTTCATCAAAATAAACAACTTAAGTCAAATTCTTTCTCAAAAAGAAAATCCCAGTTTTTAAACATATTCTAAAAATGTAGCGACACAGAATAGATCTTTGCAAAAGTCCAAGGCCGAGTGGCGTTTAATGAAGAAGTGGGCGGTGGACTTGGTACATGATTCCTGGAATTGATTTAAATTAAGCTTTAATTCACCGATTTGTTTATACAAACCAGAGAGAACTTCAGATAAAAGCAAAAAAATGGTACCAATCAACTCACCTGATGTAAAGTTTTGTATGTGTAAGTGAAGAATTTCATTGAATTATTTCTCAGATTTCAAATAAGTATATTCAAACCTGGAGCGACGTGCAGAATTTCAATAATTCTAACATGAGTTTATTAGCTTTATAGGGTTATATATCCTTGTCCATTATTTTGTAAATAAATGTTTGTTGTTAATGCACTTGGTTCTTTTGAAAGCGTTTTACTTTTATTCAAATTTAAAGTTTTAAATATCCTAAAAAATTGAAAGAAATTTATCAATTCCGGGAAAATCCCTGACATCCACATTACTTCAATAATTACATTCACTTCAAAGGTGGAGCAAAAGTCTTCGTGATGAATAAACTAATTTGTGTTCTGATTTAAAATATGAGACTACGCAAAAATGAATTACTCGATTATAAATTGCAGAATTTTAATGGACACTTCTTTATTGTTTGTGTTCACGTCAGGAACTAACCCCTTTTAACTATTTATGAATGAAAAATTCAAATTTTAGTCGAGCAGCCATTGTAAATATATATTGCAGTATTGTCCAAAAAGTGAAATCATTGGCTCCATGTTCAAACATATCGACAACACAAAATTAGAACTTTTGGTAAAAAATAGATTGATTGATTGATTGTATTTTGTTTGAAAAAAATAGTCGTGAAGTGTTTTAAAAAACCTCTTCAAATTACTATATACATTCGAGAACTTTTTAAAGCTGAAAATACTTAAATTATAAAAAAAATATTAATAATAAAGTTAATTATAAAAAATATACATTTCAGAACATTTTTAGAACATGTTCCTTTTACAGAGGAACCTTTGCCTTAAAAGGCATCTAACTTTAAAATGTCAGTGAACGCTCAATCTCGTAATAATGCTTGACACCCATGCTCTAAAATACTTATTACATTGATTTTATAATATTCAATTAAATTTTTTAAATAACTTTGACAACACTTCTTCTAAGGCGAGAAAGAAAAAAAAATGTGAAATGGGATAGGAGAGAAAATGAAAATGCATTACCTAGAAAATGAACAAGAATTTACAGCTGTGATTGCTTTCTTATTTTATTCTCGTTTATGCCTGTTTGGTATTTTCACTTTGGTCGTTTTCAGCAATCGTTAGTAGGCCTACTAGTACAGGAGAATGGACCATCATCGGAAATTAAATTGTATTATAAATATACACATTGTCGCATTATATACAATGAATCAATCTCTTGCTTTCTTTCATTGAATTAAAAAAGCAACCGAAAAATTTCGGGATGCACTGTTATTTTACCGATTAAAAGTTTCGCTCCCCCTCCCCCTCAAAAATCTTTTTTTTCTTTTGACTGGAGTGTAACAAAAATGTCACGCGATTGCGTTAATTATTTCCCTTTAATTTTGAACATGTCTATCAATTTTTGAACCCTGGTGCTATTGTACGACTAAGTTTGGATATCACATTTTACATGTATGTATGAAAAAATCTTCATAAGGTCCTCTCAGCAAAACCAGATTGAGACTTAATTATACCAGTTGAGAATAAAACAGTGTGCACGTGGTGGGCATAATTTTATCTTTAATCATATTTTAGATAATTGTTTTTGTGTTGTTATTTTGGACTTAAACAAATACATACATGTATTATGCATTTAAAATTCAATAAATGTTTATTGAAGGGGAAAAAGGAAGAGATTAGAAGACTGAAAAATTTGGCATAACACTTAAATACTAGATATTGGTGATGAATAGTTATTTAATTTAAGTCTTTGGTCATGTTCACTCCTTTTGAGTCGTTAGTTTCAAACGAAAACTACCACATTGGATAGTTACAAGTTAATTTCCATTGTTGGTAAGAAAATTCAAATATCTGAAAGTGAAAGTTTTTTTTTCTTTGAAATTATAATTAATTCTGATTTTATAACGGTATACGATTAAAATAGATTTTCAATTTGTCTTAATTTAATAAAATCTCAGTTGTAAATCATATTCTACAAAGAATAAAAAATATGTGATATCTGAAAGCGATACATCAAGGCAAAACATATTTCATCCCTTCATCAAAAAATAAACCATTGGTAGGATTAATACACATAAAGGATTTTGCCAAATGGGGAGCGGGGGGTCAAAGCCAACGAAAGACAATGATAGGCAGGATGGTCAACTCGGGATCAAAGAAGAAGAGATCTCCGAGGAGCCGAAAGACGAAATAGAAGACGAGAACACAGACGAGGAAGAGGATTATTTACGAGAACCAGAAAATGACTCGGTAATTTTTTTTATATTCAGTCAAAATAAGTTCTTGAGTTAGATCAAATTGCCGATGTTTGGATAATAGTTTTGGGGTTGCATATCGTGATTTTACCTCTGTGTTATAAAAAAATATTGAATTAAGCCGAATTATCAGTTTTATTAATATTTGGGGATTGCATATATTTTTTTCAGATTTTTTTTTACAAGACCTTTAGCTTAAAACGCATGAATTGTATAGAATAATCAAACTTAAAAAAGTCTCATGAATATTGCTTTTCTCTTGTACTTCCTATGTACTAGAAAATGAATTCTAAAACCAAACTCTCTTCCACTGCTTTATTTCTGTGGTATCAAAAGTAAGGAAATGTTTGTGCATGAAAAGAAATAAATAATTGGTGTATCCTAATCTTGCCTCGCTTTGTTTTTCTGCCTAATAGGGAGATTTAGAAGACATAGTAGAGGAATACCCTCCACCCAAGCCAAACGTTAAAAGAAAGGAGCAAATCTTCACAGAACAAGATAAATCTTCAGCAGATACGAAGGCTAAACAAGTAACACTTCATAATTTCAATAATCTGCATCAAAAAAAAAATTAGTATAAATATGTTTAATTTGTCAGTTTTCCTTAGTAAATAGGAATAAAATATAATAATATAATGTAAGGTTTTTAATTCAGACTAATAAGTTAATTAAAGCGTACAAATGGCTTTTTTTCGATTTTTGAAACTCGTCAAAAAATTTCAAGTTTCATTTACTTTTAGATGAAGTAAAATTTTTAATATATTTTTGTGTGAAATGCTACCAAAATATTTAAGTCGTGACATTATACAGAAAATATTAACTTCAAATCAGTGTCCATGCACCTTTAATATTTCAAAGCTATCATTTTTTGGACTACCAAAAACCAAAACTTCCTGGTTCCCCGTGGTTTACATAATTACAGAAGTACTCATGTACCGACTGCTTTCAGAGCAGAGGGGGGCATTGTTTTGTATATGGTGGAATTTATATTTATTATATTTAGATTAACGTTGAAGATTATCAGTCCTTGGATGACTTGGCGCATGCTCTGACCGATGAATTAACAAATGACGTGCAAAAAGTGCGCGCGATCTTCACTTGGATTGGTTTACAGGGATCAATGAAAAAAAAATCTGAACAGGACGATAAAAATCAACTTGTTACTTCGCCAAAAGCCATTTTACAACAAGTTACACAAAGAAAACGCTCGTACAATTACTTATTCATAAGTCTTTGTAGGTAAGGTGCAGAAAATCATATAATACAAAAAAGAACAAAAAAGTACAATATATATATATATGTGTGTGCAAAACATTTTATTTAATAAATTTCTTATCTTTTCTTATCTTCAAGGGCTGTTAAAATCCCATGCGTACTTATTCGGGGTCTTGCAAAAAGTGCGTCCTACGAAGTAGGTGACAGAGATGTTGACGATCTTTACAACTCATGGACAGCAGTGTATGTAGCCGGAGGGTGGCGCTTCGTGTTTCCGCTTTGGGCTTTCTCAGCAGTGGTTGGTCACTCTAAGGGTACATGGACTCTAGTTGAAACCGAAGGTATAAATTTTAATGGTATATAAAATTAAAACAGAATGATGTGTGTATGAACCTGAATATTTTGCATAATCTTTAAAGAATATTTGCCCTGTCACATTTTTATGTAGATATCCTTCAAGAATAATTCATAGAATTTAAAAACAATCAATCTACATTCTATTGATTGAAAAATAATATAGGAAAAGGTGTTAGAGAAATCAGGTCTAACAATCATCCGTACAAACGACTATTTCTTCCTTACGGAGGCAGAAGAGTTTATCTACAATTGTTATCCCAATGACTCGAAATGGCAGCTTCTTACTAGGCCATTCTCCAAACAGGACTTCATAGACATTGCACATTGTAGAAGAAACTTTTTTCAGAATCACTACAAATTAACAACACCGAATAAATGTCTCCATACATCTATTCGTGGAGTATGCGAAATTGGAATAAAAAGGCTAGACAAGGAGGAAAGTTTGTACGCATACAACTTGTATTTCAATGATGAGGAATCAAATTCAGTCATGTCTTCTGAAATCCAGCTAGAGAGATACGTAGCAATATTTAATGAAGGGTCCTCAACTAGATTCCGAGTTCGATTTCCGAATGAAGGGATATATAAGTTAGAGGTCTTTGGTGATGACTCTCCCCTTTGTGATTTCAAACTTGAGTGTAACGAGGATGTTAACTATATAAAACCATTTCCTTATAATCCAGATTATGGATTTGGTCCCAACTCCATAACGGAAGAGGCGGGGCTCCGAGCGGAGTCTCACAAGACGGGTTTCATCGATATCAAACAAACAATGAATTTCAACGTTATATTTAATATAACAAAGAAAGTGGTAGTCCAAACAATCTTGATACACGATAATATGGAACAAGAGACTAGACATGTCACTCATAAGATAAAAAGCCATAAGCTGGATATTAATGTTCATTTGCCTCAAAAAAGAGAATATGCGCTTCAGATCAACGCTAAAGACAGAGATTCCGATGGTTCATTTAAGAATGCCTGCAACTACCTTTTGACATCGGAAAATATCAACAAAAAGCGAAAACCCTACGAGGTAGGTTGGACTGTGATCATTTTTTGATATATTTTTCAGCAATGAGTTTAATTTTTCTTGACTTTTGTTTTTCAAGAATCCGATAGAAAAACGAATTAGGAAGGCATTACAGGATTTCACCTGTTCCAATAATTTAGAGGCTCTCCAAAAGGCTCTTGATGACTTCGATAAAATGGATTTAGAAGACAAAGGAGATCGGCAAAATGCAGAAGATAGATTGGCGTACCTGACTCTGCGAAAAGGTAGTAAATATATGTTTTACCGAATTCTGTTCAATGCAGGATGGTTTCAGAGTGTTTGAAGGAAGGTATAACCTTCGTAATAAATAAAAATGCCAATTCTTTTTTTTTTAAATCAAAATAATATACGCAATATTATTTCTATATTGATATTTTTGCATCATCAGAACTGAAAGATGCAATTGCAAGAAGGAATGGTGAGAAACTAGAAGAAGCAATAGAAAATGCGAAATCATCTGAGTATGCGTCCGATCTTGAGAATCTTATCGAGGAAGCAGATGATTTGTTATCACAGTTGCAAAAGCTAAAGATATTTTCTCACGAAATTCTCCAAATGAAGCAGACGACAATCTCTGAAATTCAGACCTATAAACACCCCAAATCGTTAGCTTATGACGTCATGAAAGCAACATATATCCTCCTAGGGGAAGATGAATGGCGACTTGAGGTAAGAGCTATTAGTATATTTTTTATGTTTACTAGAGTATTCTTCAAAAACAGTTAATGAGTAAATTTAAATTGTGTGTTAGGAATGGGAGCAGATACAAGCATTGATGCGAAGGACAGGAAAAGAAGGACTGTTAAGGCGCGTGCGTCAGTTCAACTCCACACACGTGACTAAAAACATGATTCATCAATCTTCTCAAATACTTCGACTTTACGACGAAGAGACCATTCGAGATTTCAGTGCGGGCCTTGCTACATTTTACAAATGGGTAAATAAATCGCTTAAATTGAGACCCTTGCAATAATTTCTTCCTTAAGAAGATTATTTAGTTTGTTTTTGATAGTAAATATTTTGATAATTATTCAAACTACATATAAATGTATCATCACAATTTCAGGCGTCGAATGTAATTGAAGAAATGACGAAATCAGAAGATCCATCGGGAGACTGAAAGATTTAGGAAAAAATATATGAAAGACGTTCAATAGATAAACTTCTCGAAAAAAAAATAAACAACACTGATTGAATGTATTGAGTTTTTTTTTAATTTCATCAAAATAAATTGACATGAATTCATTAAACTTCTATTTACTCTCACGATACAGAATGACTAAAGCTACAGGGGTTAACGATCAACATAAAGCGTAGATACATAGTTTAGTAAAATCTTTGTTCACGTTTGTTGCGAGACTGTATCTGAAGATAATGAAGATAATTCAAAGAAAAGTGTGAAGAAGCGAGTGACACATGGACAGTTATCCACTGATTTATATTATCGGCAATGTTACAAGTACACACGGAGAATGGATTATATAGAATAATTTTTTATTGATAATATTCATGAATTTATTAATGAAATGTTTTAAAACATTTTTTTATTAAATCATATTTGTGTTATTTTTCTTTTTTCGCCTATTATCTTTTCAATTTTTTTACATGAATCATACAGATATATAATTAAGAAATTATTGTGAATTTACAAATATTAATTAAAGAAGGTAAAAAGTGAAAATTTGGCACATAGACAATTTTGTAAAAATACGCAAAGCTCATTGTTTTATTCGTTTTCTGTGTTTCAAAAAAGATTGCACACGATTTTAATATTGTGATAAAAAACGTCCCTAACTCCACTTTTTCACTCAGTATTTAAATGTTTCATCAGGATATACCTATTTGAAAAAAAAACTTTTTGAAATATTGCTGATTTCTGGAAATGTTTGTTGTGTTATTTATCCCTTACTTTAACATGAGTTGGGAGAAAGACACATTATATCAAACCGTGTAAAACCATTGGAATTTTATAAACTTCTTTTTAAAAATGTAATTATTATCCTTTGACTGTGCAAGACATGTTATAGGAATTTGAATGATTTTTAGGTGGGCTATCTTTGTACAACTTAAGTTTTAATTGCAATTATACTATCTGACACTATGATCTAACTGATTCATTAAAAATACGGGCGACTATCAATTAAAGATGGAAAAAAAGATAAAAATTTAGCAGAAATAGAAAATTTGTTTGAATATACAAAGCTTTTCGCGAGAGTGCAACAAAAAAATTTCAGTTCTACTTTGAAGTAGCAGCGACCAGCATATTAAAATAGAGATGTTTTAAACAGGGTAATTAACAAATAATTAAAAGGATTAAATCTGCGAAAAATCTTCTGTATGAAGAGAATTTTCCTTCAGAGCAGTTTTCTTTGTTTACATCTTAATGAAAAAAAAGGGGCCAAGTTAACACGTCGATCACAAAGTCCAATGTTACAACAGTATATTCAATATACCAAAACAAGAAGATATGCCCTAAAGACCAAAATAAATTGAAAGGGCCATCCAAACCTTTCAAAAATATCTATACCACTTTTGGCATAGGAGAACAATGATTAAAAGAAAAGATCATACGAGATAAATGTAATTACTTTTGAAATTTTGTTTGTTTTTGTTTTTGTTTTTTGTTCACACCTAAATGAAAAAGAATGCCAAGTTAACACTTAGTCACAAAGTCAAAGATTACAACAGTATATTCAATATACAAAAACAATAAGATATGCTCTTAATTAAACATAAAATGAAAGGTCATCCGAACCTTTCAAAAATACCTAGTATACCACTTTTGGCAAGGAGAACAAAGATAAAAAGAAAAGATCATACGAGATAAATATAATTACTTTTAGCATTGGCAATATTTAAACTTTCAATATTGTCTATTAACAAATGCCTTTAAATTAAGTTTCTGAACTAAAAACAAATGGACATTTTAAAGGGGAATCATCTAAGACAAAATATCTTTCAAAAATATTCTAAACAGCAGCAGGACCAAGTCATATTAATACGAAAGACTATTGTGTGTTGTCTGTTCAAATCATAATCCTTAAAATGAGCCTTAAATGGACATCAATTTTTATTCAATTTACATGATATGGTTTTTAAAACTCAAAAGGCAATCATTTAAATAAAAAGTAGTGAATAATTTGTTCAAAGGACACCAGCGTAGGGTAGAAAAAAAAAATCTTTTAATAATGGGATACATTAATATATGTCTAAATTTTCTTTTCAAAAGTAGCAGGGCCACACTGAATTATTATTATATGCAAAAACAAGGTGTGTTTGAGTTTGTTTTAATCATAGTCCCTAGGATAAGTAAGGAGATATGATAGGAAATGAGATGTTAAAGGGGAATACATACTCAGCAGTAAAAATATCCTTAAAAGATTTAATAAAGAGCAGCAGGACCAAGTCATACTACTACGAAAGAATCATCAGGAAGTGCAGATTCAAATTTGTTCAAATCATATATAATTCCTAGGGGAACGTTAGGACATCAAAGTTTGACATATGAATTTACACGGTATAGTTTATAAAAATCTTCAGAAACAACTCGTAACAATATGCCAGCAAACTCATCACGTAGTGAAGGTTTAATTTATTTAAGGACGCCAGCGTAGGGTAGGATTGCAATAGGAGATCAATGACTTTTTAATAATGGGATACACAAGAAATGTATCTAAAATTATTTTCAAAAGTAGCAGGGTCCAACTAAATTTTCATTATATGCAATCATTCCATATAGTGTTAATTACAAAAAAAATTTATCTTGATAATAATAGGGATATGCATCAAAGGAACGCTGTGGCCCATTGAACTCTTTGGTTTCCCTCTATTGGCAAAATCCAGATTTCATTCCTACCAAAATAATCAAAATATCAAAAGACTAAAAAAATGTGTGAGGAAAAATATCAAGAGATGAAGCTTGTTGTTATCTTGTTTTTTATCATATTTCAGATATGGTTTCTGTTTATATGTATATAATTACAATTATGCAATCCACAAATATGCTTTTTAAATTCAATAAGTGTGTAATGAAGGGGAAAGGGGAAGTGATTTGCAGGCTGAATAACGAAAAAAACTTAAATACTAGTTCTTTGTCGTGAATTGTTATTCAATATTAGTTAGTCTTGTTGATTACCGTTCAACCCTTGATATGTCAGATTCAAACAAATACTCGTCACTGGATAGCTGGAATTGACACTTCATCTCTAATCCACATCAGAATCTAGGTAAGGAAAAAACAGCTTATGAAATCCGATTTAAGCTGTTTTTTACACTCTAATTTAAAAAAAATTCTGTTAATATTGACGCACCAATATTTTATTATATTCTATTATATTAAAAAATTCTCTGTCTGTCATCAGGATTGAAAGTTACAGCGATATAAAGCTAATGGCAATTTAAAGAGTTGTCTCCCATTTAGTTTTGATGACACATCCTGGGCAAAGATTTTTTTTCTGAAGAATTTTTCGCATCATGGGTTGTGGAGGATCAACCCAGAATAGTCAAGAGAAAGAGGATTATTTGAGAGAACCAGAAAATGACTTGGTAATTTTATTGATCAGTAACTTGATATTATGTTTGAAAATTTGTCTGTCAGAAATAAAATGAATTAGGTCAAATTGTCGATGTTTCAAACAAAGTTTGGGGTTATGTAAGATTTATTCATGAAAGCGTTTTTATGAAAAAAGAGCACAGTTATTCATTTGAAAGGAAATGATCTGGAAGGAGATTAGACCCAAATTTGAAAATCAATTTATTGTAGAATTTCAGGTCTTGACATTTCGATTGATTGATTGTATATTGTTTAACGTCCTTCTCGAGAATTTTTCACTCATAATGAGACGCCACCACTTACCGGTGGAGAGCTGCAAAATTAGACCTATGCTCGGCACTTACGGCCATAGAGCAGGGAGGGATCTTTTCGTGCCAACACCTACATACGGGACCTCGGTTATACGGTCTCATCCGAAGGACCGGTCTCCAGGTCCAACAGTGGGATTCGAACCCACGACGTAAGGATCAACTCCTTACTTCGCGACTCTAGAGCAGACGCTCTAACAACTGCGCTACGCGGGCTGATTCGAGAATTAAAAATCGAGATAAATAATAAAACTTTGTTGAAAACTTCTTTTAACTGAAATTTGAGGCGTGTTTCATGTCATATATCCTTGCACTCGCACGTACTTAAACTATTTTTTAAATACTTAAGAAATATGGGGTGTGATGTGGTGTATTAATATATAAATATATCAAGACTTAAATCAAAGATTCAAAATCAAAAATCAAAGATTTATTTTAATCAGAGGTTAACACACTAAAAGAAAATGTATTTTGATAAGTTTTTTATACCAGCCTTGCCTCACCCTAATACATGTATTTTCTTCATCTAATAGGTAGATTTAGAAGAATCCATTGTGGGGTACCCACCTCCAAAGCCGAGCTTAAAAGGAAAGAAGCAAATTTTTACAGAACAAGATAAAACTACGGCGGATGATAAAGCCAGACAAGTAATATTGTTCTCCATAACTTATTAAGCTTGAAACAAGGAACTGAACTAAAATTTGAAGGCATAAATACATTACTATAATATAAATCTATAACTATATGAAAATATTAAATTAAATTTCAATTCATATATCACCATGTACTAGTTAAATGATAAAAACTACCTGTAGATGTCTCATTAAAGATTTAAGGACATATTATAAGAGCAAGCTTAAAAAAAATTACAGTTAAATTTTTGTTCATATAAATGCAATAAATAAGTTTTAATTTTCATTCAAATTTTCTTAAAAATATCCTACAAAGTTATAAAATTTGGATAGATTTATACATGGAAATAAATTGAATATCAGAAAAAGCCTACAATTTCTTAAAATTTTAGAGACACGAATTATACGTGATTAGCACCCAAAATAGCAGCCAATAGTTTTTAACTTCCGTGCTCCCTGTGATTTAACATTTCTGCAGAAATAGTCTAATATCGATTGGAATCAGAGACGAATAGGGTATTGTCATTAATATGGTTGTGAAATTCACAATAATTGTTTTTAGATTAAAGTTGAAGACTATCGAACCCTGGATGACTTGGCGCATGCTCTGACGGACGGATTAATAAATGACGTCCAAAAGGTGCGCACGATTTTCACTTGGATTGGATTACAGGGGTCAAAGAAAAATAAATCTAAAAAGGGAGACAATAAAAGCCGAGATGTCACTTTGCCAAAAACCATTGTACAACAAATTACACAAAGAAAACGCTCGTACAATTACTTATTTATTAGCCTTTGTAGGTAAGAAAAGCACAGGAATAGAAAAGGGAAAGTTAAATTTAAGAAGTACGTGTAAATTATACGGTAAACGTTTATTTCATTCAGACGGTTTTAGTTTTACTATGCTTGTAATCAATTAAGAACCGTCCTAATATAAACTTGAAGCTATTGTGAATATTGTTGATATATCAGAGTAGTTTTCAGTTATAAAGTATGTATAATCCCTGTTTTCCTACTCAGTAATAGTAAAGTAGTAAATCATTTAAAGTAAAGAAAAGTAGTAAGACATTCAAATTAGAAAACCTGAAGTTAAAAACTATTGTATATTAGTTAATTAATGGAAATATTTGTCATGAATAACAACATATGGGTATTTTAAATTACAATTGTGAAACTAAAACCAATCCAAAATGTATCAACATAGAATATCGTGAAATATTAAACATGTGGAATTGAAGACGTTAACAGTATGCAGGATATAAATACATGACTGTTAATTTGATTTTGTTGCCTTTAATCTTCAAGGGCTGCTAAAATCCCGTCTGTACTCATTCGGGGACTAGGGAAAAGTGCGTCCTACGAAGTAGGTGACAGAGATGTAGATAATCTTAACAACTCATGGACAGCTGTGTATGTAGCCGGAGGGTGGCGCTTTGTGTTTCCGCTTTGGGCTTTCTCAGCAGTGGTTGGTCACTCCAAGGGAACATGGACGCTAATAGAAGACAAAGGTATAATAATCATTGGTTTATAAATGGCACATGATTATGTGTGTACTTAACTTAATATTTTGTATAATATTTAGAAAAAAATTTCTCTGTCACATTTTAGTAAATAATTATCGTTTCAGAAATGTTTTTTAAAAAGTGCATTTTAAAAACAATCTATTGATTGAATAATATAGGAAAAGGTACAAGAGAAAAAGAAGAAGAATCATCAGGTCAAACAATCAGCCATATAAACGACTATTACTTCTTTACGGATGCAGAAGAGTTCATCTATACTTGTTACCCCTATGACTCAAAATGGCAACTGCTTACTCGGCCATTCAGCAAAGAGGACTTCATAGATATCGCATATTGTAGTCAAGACTATTTTGAGAATCACTTCAAAATCACAACACCAAATAAATGCCTCTATACATCTGCTGGCGGGGTATGTGATATTGGGATAAAGAAGTTAGATAAAAAAGAAAGTTCTTATACATATAAGCTGTATTTCAACCACAAGGAATCGAAGACAACCTTGTCCTCTGAAATACAGCTAGAGAGATACGTAGCCATGTTCAATGAAGGGCCCTCCGTTAAGTTTTTTGTTCGGTTTCCCTGTGAAGGCATATATAAGATGGAGATCTTTGGTGACCATTCCCCTCTATGTGAATTCAAACTTGAGTGTAATGAGAATATTAACTTTATAAAACCATTTCCTTATAATCCAGAGTGTGGATTTGGTCCTAACTCACTAACGAAAAAAGCCGGGCTCCGTCCGCAGTCACACAAGTGTGGCTTCATTAATATCAGAAAGACGACGAATATCACCGTGATATTTGATATCAAAAAGACAGTGTTTGTCCAAACAAGCTTGATACACAATGATATCGAACAGGAGACGTTGAATAAACACGTGACCAATAAGATTAAAGGTCAGGAGCTTGATATCAATGTAAATTTGCCTCAAAAAGGAGAATATGCGCTTCAGATCAACGCAAAGGACAAAGATTCAGATGGCTCATTCAAGAATGCCTGCAACTACCTTTTGACCTCAGAAAACATTAACAAAAAGCGGAAGCCCTACGAGGTATGTGGACCTGTGATAATTATGGAAAGATACTTGATAAATTAGTTTTGATTTTTCTGATCTTATATTTTCTAGAATCCGATAGAAAAAAGAATCAGGAAGGCCTTACAGGACCAAACTTGCTCCAATGACGTAGAAGCTCTTCAAAAAGCCCTGGATGACTTTGATAAGGTAGATCTAGACGACAAAGGGGATCGTCAACAGGCAGAAGAAAGGTTGGCGTACCTTACCCTACTAAAAGGTACCAAATACACAATCTAATTAAAATTAGATGTTAGATCCGCTCGCACACTAGCTACACTAACATATAACACCATCCCTTAGAGGATCACGTCAGAGGTCAAATTCGAAACAGCTCTAGACTTATTTGCTTCAACAAATATCCGATGTATTTGCAGGCGACGATTTGATTGGTTGATAGAATTTGACCTCTGACGTAATTTTTATTAAATTGCCAAATACATTGCTTTGATAAAGCACAAGGTACAGTTTCCATGGAAATATTGCCCTGTGATTTTCTTTAAAAAAAAACTGATGTAAAAAATGAAAAGTAATGCTTTCTTAATCATTGAAATGTCATGCTGAAAATTCATAAAAACCATTGTCTGACATGTTTCTAAATGCTAATTAATTGTGACGTCCTAAACATGTGTATTTTCCAGTATTTTCTTAAAAAGTTGGAGAAGAATTTTCTTTCAGATAATATTGTCCACATGCATCATCCACAAAGATTTTGAGATATGTGATTTTTCATTGAATATTGCACAAAATATCCAAAAATTAAAGTGCGCAACAGCTGTGGACAATATTTTCTAAAGGAAAAATAACCCCTTGAAATGGGTCATTTTGAGGCTTTTTCTGATTATAATAGAGAAATGCATCTCATTAATTACTTCAAATTTCCGGAATGGAAATCCTTCATGCCATATTCTTTCTTGATCTATCATAGTCATAACCTCAACTAATATTTAAGCCAGTTTCAAAACTTTTTGAAAACATTAAATTTTTAGGGGGCAATAAAGCTAAATCCGTACCTTCTCCTTTTCTGAATTGCATTACTATGATCAGACGTACAAATTGATAAAAAAAATTACTAAGGATAGTGTTTTAAACAAAAAAGTCAACAATTCTTTTTTTTTAAATCTAAAAGCCAAAATGTTTATGTAAACCGTTACTTTTCATATCTTCAGAACTGAAAGATGCAATTGCAAGAAGACATGGTGAGAAACTAAAGGAAGCAATACAAAATGCGAAATCTCCTCGTACAAGTCCAATCTTGAGAATTTTATTGAAACAGCAGAAGAGTTGTTATTACAGTTGCAAAGGCTAAGGGGATTTACTCACGATATACTTCAAATGCAACAAACGACAGTCGCTGAAATCCAAACCTATAAACACCCAAATCATATGGCTTATGACGTCATGAGAGCTACATATATTCTTCTAGGGGAAGAAGAAACGCGGGTCGAGGTCGGAGCAATAAACAAAATATACTTCTTTTGCTTTCTGCATAAAATATTGATAGAGGTATGTTTTTAAAGGTTTTTAAAATGTAATATTGTCTTATAGAACTGGGAACAGATACAGGCATTGATGCGAAGGACTGGAAAAGAAGGTCTGTTGAGGCGCGTGCGTCAGTTCAACATTACCCACGTGACCAAAGAAATGGTTAATCACTCCTCTCAAATACTTCGACTTTACGATGAAGAGACGATACGAGCATCCAGTGTGGGTCTCGGTACATTTTACAAATGGGTAACTAGGACTCTTTTGGGGATCTTTGCAATGATTTTTTTTTATTTTAAAAGATTTATCATCTTGGTTTTTTTTTTCTTTTTTCTTTTTTCTTTTTTGGTCATGGATTTATTAATTATAATTAATGTTTTATGTTTTTATCACAATTGCAGGCAACACATGTTATCGAAGAAACGACAAAATCAGAAGATTTTTGCTAGAGTCCCAAACGCTTAGGAACATAATCGCAAAACAGAGTTGAATTTACTTTTTAAAAACTGTTTAACTACACTACTTAGAATTTATGAGGAGTTTAAAAGCATGCTAATGAATCTAGGAATACGCATTAAACCTATTTACTTCCAAGAAAGGGAACAAATGAAAATCCAAAGTCTAATGATCTACTGACAAAGGCATACATGTAGACTAGATTTAGAGATTTAGATAGTGAAAGCTTTGTTCGATGACACTTTTCTTGTGAGGCAACGTATCTAAGAACTATTCCATAGAAAAAGAATAAATGTTCAGAATCATTTGAGATATACACAAGCATGTAAGCTTGTTTTTGAAACATTTACCTTTAGTCTTCAGAACTGAATTACATAACATTTATCCTTTCATACAATTTCGACATCAGGAGCAATTATATTAAAAAGTACACATGGAAGGAGAAGATTGAATAATTTCTCGTTGATTTTGTACATAAACTTTATGGATTTTTTTAAATGGCTTTATATGAAATTGTATACTTTTTTCTTTAAAAAATTTTTTTATTATTTATTGTCAATACATGATTTTACCTGAAGTAGTATCCAGAACAGAGGTGTAGAATATAAATTATATAAACTACTCCTTGTGACTTAAAGAACAAAAATTAAGTAATGGTTAAAATTGGATATTTTGTTTGAATTACACATTGTTTGTTTCTCAATACATGGACATTATCAGATAACAAAGATCTTACCACGTCGAAAGTTTCTGCAAATTTTAATTTTCATATATATCTGTACATTTATGATAAGGAATTTTGAATATAATTTACCTGATTTTTAAAAAATCATTCTTGAATAAATTGTTGATGATAATGCATCCTTTTCTCTCAATTTAAATGCTATGATTTTTTTTTTCTAAATAAATGCACTCAATAAAACAGTTATCAGTCCCACAAGTCGATCAAAACAATACAAACTAGAGCTAATTGTAACGGGAACCGTTACAGATGTTCCCCAAATGCTCCCCAACTCCCTTTTAGTGCCATATTCCCTGTAATATACTATATAGGAAAGCATTCAGTCCAAAAGTATTAAAAATCACTCATTCAAGTGTATTTCTTATTTCATTCGTTCCAAATGCACGCACGTGCGTGCACGTGCATGATGACCATACCTTCTTGTAGGAGTCCCTTATATTTATCTATGTTCTGAATCCCATCCTGTTTGGTTGAAAAACAAGGGAGTTATAGCCATTTCAAGTTTCAGCCAATCAGATTGCAGCACACGTGCATGCGCGTGATTTCATGATTTTTTTTCTAAATCGCATTGTAGAATATCCTAATGAATGACTATGTTTTAAATTTCAAAGCATTTCGTCAAAAAAACAAAGGAGATATAGTCATTTTAAGTTTCAGCCAATCAGATCGCAGCACACGTGCATGCGCGTAATTTCTTGAAATTTTTTGTATATAATATTGCAGGACATCCTAATGTATGATTATGTTTTAAATTTCAAAGCATTTCGTCAAAAAACAAAGGCGATATAGTCATTTAAAGTGTCAGCCAATCAGATTGCAGCACACGTGCATGCACGTGATTTCATGAAATTTTTTCTATATTATATTGTAGGATATCCTAAGTCATGACTATGTTTTAAATTTCAAAGCATTTCGTCAAAAAACAGAGAAGATACCGAGATTTTTGTTTCAGCCAATCAGAGCGAAGCGCACGTGCATGCGCGTGAGTTCGTGCTAATTTGACAGTGTTACATTATCTACATTATTAATATATCTTTATATAATGAGTTTCAAATCATTTCATTAAAAAATGTAAAAGTTATAGCTATATTAAGTATATCAGTCATTTCACGTGTTGCACGCGCACGCACGTGCAGGCGTATGCGCGCAAAATGACCTTCGTTCCGCACACCTAAACTACACACCCATTAACCCTAAAAAGGTTTTAGGTCAGTTGGGTGAACAGTTTCTGAGAACACTTCCGGACAAAAAAGTACCGGAGAACAAATAAGAAAAAAAAGAATAACTAGTGCTAATTGTAACGGGGACCGTTACAGATGTTCCCCAAACGCTCCCCAACTCCCTTTTGGTGCCATATTCCCTGTAAGCTTCATTAAATAAGACAAACTCGATGCATTTGAGACTTTAACAACGTTTACCCAGAAGTGTACAAAGTTCATTCAAATTTTAGCATTGCACGCGTGCGCATGTGAATGCATGTGCGTAATGACCATATCATCTTGTCTACACAGTCTATATATTTAAATATACTAAATATTAAAGTATTTAATCCAAAAGTATTAAAAAGATACGCTCATTCAAGTGTTTTTTTGATTTTGCTCATTTCACATGCACGCACGTGCATACATGAGCATGGTAATCATATCTTCTTGTAGATGTCCGTTACATCTATCTATGTTCTAAATCTCACCCCGTTTGGTTGAAAACCAAGGGAGTTATAGTTGTTAAAGTTTCAGCCAATCAGATTGCAGCGCACGTACATGCACGTGTATGCATGTGCATGGTGACCATATTTTCTTGTAGTAGTCCAGTATATCTATCTATGTTCCAAATCCCATCTTGTTTGGTTGAAATACAAGGGAGTTATAGCTATTTAAAGTTTAAGCCAATCAGATTGCAGCGCACGTGCATGCACGTGTTTTCATGATAATTGCTATATATCATGTTGTAGGATATACTAATGCATGGCTATTTTAAAAATTTCAAAGGATTTCGTCAAAAAACAAGAATGATATTGAGACTTTAGTTTCAGCCAATCAGAACAAAGCGCACGTGCATGCGCTTGAGATCTTGGTATTTTGACCATGTCATATTGTCTATGCTTCAAATATATCCTTATATTATAAGTTTCAAAGCATTTCATCAAAAATTTTAAAAGTTACGCCTATATCAATTAAATCGGTCATTTCACGTGTTGCACGTGCACGCTCTTGCAAGCACGTGCGCGCAAAATGACCTTCGTTCCGCAAATCTATATAACATGTCTACTGACCCTAAAAACATTTCACCTTAGTCGGATGTATAGTTTACGAGATCATTCCCGGACAAAAAAGTACCCAGGAAGAAGAAGAAAAATAATAATAATAATAATAATAAGAAACAGAGTAAAAACAATATGTTCCCCAACTTCGTTTGGGGAACATAATAATAATAATAACTAGGGCTAATTGTAACGGGAACCGTTACAGATGTTCCCCAAACGCTCCCCAACTCCCTTTTGTGGCACATTCTCTGTGCGCTTCATTAAATAAGACAAACACGATGCATTTTAGACTTT